TATAATTGGTTACCACCTGGAAAGCACACAAGGTGGTCTTATAGAACACCCCATCTGAACAGAGCTCATTGCTACCAGGAAATAAAATAACATTTTTACTGGTCGACTGGTAGCTAATGCAGATTTGGAGAGAAACATACCTGACAAGACAACACCTGCCACAGAAGGGGGGGGGATCCAAATGAAAATGATGAGAGGGTCCCTGAAAAGGAATTGAAATAAACACAAAAGAGATGAAGTCACTCACCTCTCTTACAAATTAACTGGGGCATGGAAAATAGCAATGTGGGGGGGGGGGGAAGCCAAAAACCTTTCGAGGAGGAAACTACCAAGTTATACAAGTAATAAAATACAAAAGTATTAGGCGTGGTCCACATACTAGCCTATACAATCTTCTCCAGTGGGTAACACGACCGAGCCACCAGGGGCATGGAGATATGGCAAGTTTGATGAGAAAGCCCAGAGTAAGCAGTAAACACCAGCTGAAGAACCCAACCTGTCAAAGTGACAGGGGGTAAGTCATGTGACACTTTAGGATAAACAAATAGTGACATGAATCTCAAACTCTTTAGCGTGCATGCAACATAACACAAAGAGCCAGGCATAAAAGATGATTCAGATCTGAGCATTCATAAAAATAAGAAATGGAAGGAATATGAATAGTAAAGCCTGATACCCTTCTCAGCTGCTGAAATGTTAGGAAGAAATGACCTATCAGAACACAACAGAACTTAAGGAATGGTAAAGAGTCCTGTGCACATGAATCACAAAACCAGGGACTCAAAAACTTTACATCTTCCAGAAAAATGATAAGTAGCAGACAAAGCTGCCTTATACAGAGAAATGGACAAAGGTGCCAAACCTTTGTCAAATAACCATGTCACAAATCAAGAAATATATAGCACAGTGGCACGAGAAGGATTAAAACTGTATGTGAGCGACCACTGATGACAAGTAAACTATTCCAATGAAGAATGCCGATTGGACCATGTTAAAGATGCCACCCAAGAGGTCAATCCCTAACTTCATGCAATGGACAGCATAAAAGCCAGACATGAAGCCAGAGAATGGTGATTACCAGATGCAGAATGTCTGACTGAGACTGACATGAGAGGAATGGCCAGAGAGGAAGCAGAAGAGGTTGGCACTGCTGAAGATACTGAAGTAGTGGAAACCAAACCCATCCAATCTTGGCTCAGAGCATCTATGCCCAAAACTAGAGGATGGAGATCAGAAGGACAGGAGCTGGGCATTCCAGTGAATGGCAAAAGTATCAATCTGAGGTGTTCCAACATGAGAGCAGATCCAATGAAAGACTTGTGGATGAAGCATCCATTCTGTGGGAAGAACTCTGTTTGGACAAGATAACTGATTAGCCACTAAATTCATAACACCTGGAACATAACAAGCAAGGAGAATAATCTGATGATTGTCGGCCCAAAAGAGAAGATCCCATGTCCGAAAACAAAGACACCTAGAGTGAGTGCCCCCTTGCTTGGAAATGTAGGAGACCACAGTGAAATTGTCCGAGTGAAGCATTACCACATTTCCTCACAACAAATCAGGAGTCCAAGACATAGCTCATTAAACTGCTAGAAGCTCTAAAAGATTTGTGTAGAGAAGACCTTGAATTCCATATCCCCTACACAAGCTCCCCATCCCTGGAGAAAGAGAAGTATTCCTGAAATGATTTATCTCTGGATGTGGGGGGAGGGAGGGGACACTTACTGTTGTGTTGTCCCTGTTCAACTACCAGCCAATATCGAGCAGGCTGGAAGCGAATACAGTCACCAGACAATCCAGTGCATCTAGGCAAATGTTCCATTGGTCCTGTAATTACCACTGAAGGGAACACATGTGGGTCCAACCCAAAGGAATGAGAGATTCCAAGGATGCCCACATCCTCAAAAAAGGTAGAACCGCATGCACTGGTGGAGAAGGAGATGGTTGTATTAGAAAAATGGCCCATTCCATGGCCTGAAGGCATAGAGGAGAAAATTGGGCCCAAGTGAAAAGTGAATTGAAAAATACCTCTAAATGGATGGGATACTGTTTCAGAGTAAAAATAGGCTTCTCCATTTTGATGAGAAACCCACCTCTCAAAGCTTCGGATAAAAGAGCTTGAGTATGAAACTCTGCCAAAAGGTAGGAAGGAGCAAGAAGAAGCCAGTCATCCATATAATGGTAAGTGTGAATGCCTATTAGTGAAGATGACATGAAAAGGATCTGACTATCTGGCAAATGAAGTATGGGGCAGATACAAGGTCAAACAGTAGAGTACAAAACTGAAAAAAACCTGTCTCTCATACACAGTATGGAGATAACGACATGAAAACTCCATGATTGGAATATGAAAATAGGCATCGGAAACATTGAACTGACAACAGACAACAGTTGCAAAGAAGATAAAAAATGTAAAACTGTTGTAAGGGACAGACAAATCTGGGAAACTGAGTTAGGTTACGATGAATAGTGGCATCAGGCCTAGAACTTCAAATAAGAATAACAGGATCTAACCTCTGAAAATCTAAATACGAGTCCTCCAAGTGATATAAAGCTAAGGCATGCTGATCCAATAAATGGGGAGGACAAGGCATGTCAGCACCCTCTCTGAATTGATAAACAAATCTCTGAGCATGTACAGCAATGTCTGGTGAAAATGGAAAGACTAGGTAATCAGCTGAATGACTTCCCCCCCAATAAAAAAATGAGAAGAGTCAGAAGCCACAAGAGAAATGCCCAAGACATTATAAACTTGATGTACTAGGTGCAAAAATTGTGCAGGAGGGGGGGGGGGATGTCCATCTGAGGCTCATGATTACCTGCCTAAGCAAAAGAAGTAGCCAGAAAAATAGAGTCCAAATTCTCACAAGTCCACCCCTGATCCTCTGCAAGCTCAGCTTCTGAACCAGCAGGAGAAGAAACATCAGACCTCATGTAAGACTCCACCTCTCTGCATATAAAGGAATGGGTGTCCTCTACAGAAAAAATGCCTCTCCCCAATTTCTGGGCAATACTCGACTCCAGAGGTGGCAAAGTAGGAACACTAGGAAACCTGGTGTCAGAGACGTGAATGTGAGAATTCATATTTTAAACAGCTCAGAAACTATTTCTTACCTATGGAAAATAAAGAAAATAGACAATAAACACCAAACCCAATAAGACGAGTAAAAAAAATTGTAAAAAGTAAAAGAAACCTGCAGCAAGCACTAAAAACTGTTGTTGTAACATTCTGCTGTTGAGAAAAGTGAATAGAAAGTAATAAAAGAAAGCTTATATAAAGATCTGGGATAAGGGCGCATTGATGTAGGTGGAGAGAATCAGAAGATTTAACTTGCTATGGGCAATATTGTGGGATATAAAGGCTAGAGCAAGCAAAGTAAGATTCCTACCAATGCTTAGATGGGCAGAGAATAGAAACTTTCATGGGATAAAGCTAAAGTGTGAGGTATGTGTGTTCCGGAACTTTCTTGAATAATATAATCTATTTAAGAAAAAAAAAATTTTGTCCAACCTCATAGAAATTACTAATGCTTCATGAGCACAATTAGAGAATTAAATCATGATTTCTCATGATGAAACCTTTGGTATGTTGAAACCAAAATTAACGAGATACAAAGATTAACTAGAGTTAACACTAAAATGTCAGCATGGGGTTACTATGACCCCATACCACCTGGTGTTGATGATTAAAAATTAAATTCTGGCATTCTAGGGTTAACGTCAGTACTGATAATTAGAATACATGTAGACTTCTCACAATCCTGAACCCACAAATTACTAACTGCTACAACTGATAGTACTTCTAATAATGTAGCTTCACAAGTTAATAATGCCAGGTCTAATTTTGACACACACTTGCATGCATCAGGCCTGGTTACCTCTATAAGTTCAGTTCCCCATTCCTCTCCTCCACCATGTGGTAATGATAGAGACTTAATATGATTGATTAAATAAGAGTGAATAAGATTGTGAACAAACACTGGAAAATAAAGTTCCTCTGTTTTATAGAACTGGACATGTTTTTGAAAGATCTTTCTGGTTTTATACTATGAAGGTAAAATTCAAATGATTATACTTATGTCCAAGGAAGGATGAAATGGTTTTCAATACCAGAGAAAGTTACAAGAAACAAAGCAGTTCTCTGAATAAATTATCCAGCTGTACTGAAGACAACTACGATTTTAGGTTGTATCAACAGAAATATTGAATACACGTCTAAAGAGATCACAATTTTATTTGTATAGATTACTGGTTAGGCCACATTTGGAGTTTTGTGTTCAGTCTTGGATGACTTACCTTACGAAGGATATTAAATTGTTGGTAATGGTTCAGAAGAGGGTTAGTAGGATACATGGGATGGAATCTAATTTAGAAGTTTAAGATTGTTAAGGAAATTGAGTGTTGATGCTTCCTCTTTTTTTTTTTGTACTTAATAGTGAGAATGGTAAGACTAGAAGACTTCAATATGAATTTTGGTACAGTAGGAGTCATCTTCAACTAAGACAGTTTTATTTTTCTTACAAGGTAGTTGTCTTAAGATGTGGTCAACACCATACATTTAAAGGAGTTTAAGAGAAGGCTTGATAAATATTTGAATGATAAGAGCTGGCTTTGAGTGTTTTGTGTTTATTTTAAAGTTCAGTTTAGTGGATGAGATGGCCTAGACAGGCCAATAGGTCCCTTTTCGTCCTTAAGTTTTATTTATGTTAAAAGTTATTGTGCTATCATTCTGCAAATATGATGGCAATTAATATCCAGTTAGTTTATTATACCATATTGTCTTCATTACTGTATATTCTATTTGAAATTATTTTAGTTTTGATCTGTATAGTTGGCTTACTTTTAATAAGAAAGTTTTAATAAAAACTGTAGAAGAGTAAGTTGATATAACACATCAGATATTATTTTAATAACACATCAGATATTATTTTATCTAAGATATTATTTAATTACACATCCATATTAGTGAGTAGTAATTTTAGTATTAATTTCTTTACCCTTTTTTGAAGAATCATCTGTTGTCTCTTCATCTCCAAATCTTTGCCTGATGTCTCTAAAAATTGACGGTATGCTAAGTCAAAAGCTTGCCCTATAGTCAGTGTAATCTCTTCTGCCTGTAAGCAATAAACTAACTTTTTATTTTATATCCAACTCTAAATATATAAATAAATATATGAATACAGTAAAATGTAATATTCAAATCAATAAAATAATAAAGTACACTTTATACACTGACTTTAATAATGAGGTATACCATATATATATATATATATATATATACACATTAA